AAAATGAAGAGTTATTAACCCGGTGTACATGCAAGTATACAATGAAAGACCAAATCTATGAGGGTTAATATACCTGGACAAGGTGGTTAGTTGCGTATCCCGCTCGGGCCACCTTATCACCCAACCACCAGTTGGTCTCCCCACTTGGAAAGATTAAAAAATAATTAGAAATCAGATTGGGCCCCGACGTCCTTGCTCGTTGCAAAACTCCCAGGCTACTCGATGGTGGTGGTGGTGACCTCCTTGCCACCACCTTTTTTTCTTTTTAGAGGTCGTCCTGCCCCTATTCTCCTGGGCGGAATGCTTGGAGCTCCCTTGGTCATGTTTCTTAGGAGGCTTAGGGATAGGCTCATTGCAGTCTGTAGGCTCGAGTTGTAGCACCTTGAAGGAGCGGACTGCTCGACCGTGGTTGTGACTTTTTTGGCGCTGGAGGTTGGCTCAACAAGCATCAAGCTGAAGAGGGAACATACACACGTGAATAGAGATATTAGTATAAATTTAAAGTCTTAAAAGAGTTGGTCAAGATAGGGGGAAATCCACCTAATTCAGTAATGGGAGAAACTTTAAGCGACATCAACCCACAGTGAAATCTTGGTTGGGGGTCGTCAGTGAGCTTAACATTGTTGGATGCAAATTGGTTCCATTCACGGATCATCTCGTCACAACAATTAGAGGGCTTAGTCTTTTTTAGCTGGCTCATCGAGCCAGTCGAGGAAGAAGTCAAGTGTGTTAAGTGGAGGTAGAACAAAGAAGTGTTTAGTTTTCCAAGCCGAAACATCGGAAGGTAAGCAGAGAGGTAATAAGATGATATCTAGCATTTTCAAATGGCATCTGCTAAGGATGGTAAATCCCACCATAAGGCAGATGAAATTGGGGGTAAAGTGGTTCAAAGGGATCCTATAGGGTTGGCTAAGTTCTATTAGGTCCTTTTTAAGAGAAAATTGAGCCAACTTGGATTTGATCTACAAAGAAGGGTAGTTGTCTGACGGAGGGTGGTCGAAGGTGTTGGTGAGTATACCAAAAGCTTCGCTTTAGTTTAAACCATATTTCAATTTTTAGAATCTTTTTTGTCGATCCGGATCCCAAAGAAACTGGAAGAGTGACCCCCCACTCCACTGGGAGCGTAGGTTCACCATTCCAGCAGTCTGAGTTCGACATGTCATACACCAGGGCCGCGTCATTTAACCTCACATGTAGCCACGCGCCATGGTTTGGGCTCTGATCCTCTCAATGGTTATGGTGAAGTATTGTCTGACCGTTGAGAAGATCTAGCTCATAAACTCATTTGAGTGCTTAAAGCACTCATCAACTCGAACTGATAGTGCTATAGAAAATGATCTCCCAGGAGTGAGGTTTTTTGCAGCTCAAGCATGTTGCTTCCTTGCATTATTGGTGTCCTCGTCTGTAGGTCCTCAAGAAATCATGTGAATGATGTCCCTCTTGGGCAGAGCCTCATCCTTGACCTCGACCTCATGGTCCCATTGTCATTTTTCCTTATCTCTCCCTCTTCGACCTCGTCTCTTCTTGTCTTTGTATACGAACCCCTTTAGGTGACTCGCTCTAATCAACCGTTTGATCTCATCTTTGAGGTGTATGCAATTGTCCGTCGTGTGGTGATGTGTCGGTGAAAACGACAGTATAATTTTGATTTGGATTGAGTTGGACCTTATCTCCTCGACCTCGGCCATGTGATAGTACCTCCATCCATCCTTTTCTCCATGGTCTTCAGTACCTCTGCTAGATTTGACCTCAAAGGGGTATATTTATCGTACCTCTGGCCATCTCGCACAGGTCGACCTTTCCATCGATCTTCTTGCCCTCCATCTGGCTTCTCCTTTTTTGGGAAACTAACTTTTTATTTCTTGGTTTATGGTCGAGACATCTTCTCCAACTTGGCAAATTCCACCTCTGCCTCCTCCATGTTTATATCTTTGTTACATCTAGTCAGGACCTCATCATAGGTCATTGTTGGCTTCTTGGCCAACGAGCTCCTACACGGACCAACTGAAAAGCTTGAGTCAGTCCTCTAGCCTTGACCTCTTCTAGACCCAAAGAATCTCGACACAAGCCTTGCAATATCGACCAACAAAACTTTGTAGAGTCTCTCCACTCTCATATTGCATCGCCTTAAGTATAAAATAGGTCTTCTCCTATAACCTCCGCTGGCAAATTGGTTGAGTAACATGCTCGCGAACTACTCGAAATCTTTTATCAACCCCAGGGTGAGCTGGTGGAACCTGTTTTGCTCCCCCCACCACTCTAGAGGGTCGTTAAAAATGCCCTGCAACTCACCGCATATGCATAGCCATGCAAAAATACCATATTTTCAAAAGACCTCAAGTTTCAAGCTGGGTTTGTAGACTCGTCATACGTGATACTAAGCTCTCTGAATCCATTAGGAAGGTTGGCCTCCAAAATCCTATGCATAAACGGGTGACCTCGAGCTCTCCCGACCTTATTCCCCTTGATATTTGCCTGCAACTCATTTAATTGTTCAGCCATTTTCTCCACCATGAGGTCATGATGTGTTTCTTCACATGTGCTGCTCGAAATTTTGACCTCAGTGTCTTTTTTTGTGGTCGCAGTGACAGTGCATTGACATCTGCTATTGAGCACACATGACCGTTACTACATCGACTATCATTCTTCTAACTCCGTCTTCGTCAGAGTGACGAGTTGTTGACCTGTTGGTTCAACAACGCTCCTTGGAGGTACCATCGGCATGACCACAACTAGATATGGCTGCGTCTGGGGTAGAACCACGACTTTTGTACCAGATCTAGCATTCGTCTGGATGCTCACGTCTGTGTGGGACTGCAGATGAGCTCCCTATGCCCACAGGGTTAGACATCAAAGTCATTTGAGTCTGAAACGACCAGGAGAAGCCCGGTGAAGGACCTTCTCTGAGCGGACGCGTGGTGGTCCATGCATCTTCAAAAGTGTGCTCTAAGTTTTTCTTGAGAGCTTTGTTCACCATGACTATCGTGTTTGATGGCTTTTTGAACGTATTCCCCATAGGCGACACAAAAATGGTGTGTAATCTACCTCTGTTTGGCTCAAACGGCTTGGATCATCTCTTTGACCTGGTCGTAGACCTACAAAATCGGTCGAGAGGGGTTCCAACGTTAGCACTCCGACAATCGAGTCAGTTCATAGATGAAGAAGACGATGGTCAATGTATGCAAAGCTTTGAAGTATGTAGAGAATGTAATGTTTCAATGGACATACCTCACCCTTATATATAGGGATGTGCTACCTTGTTGCCAAAAACTGCCCGTATGAGCTGCTCAGACTGCCTGAACTGCCTGTCTGTACTTCCCGAACTACCCGATTCAGTTAGACCAGGTGTGGTTCTTATCATAATAATATTCCTTCTTATCCATTAGTCTGTCTTATTAGACGGTGTAATCATGCGACCTGACCTATTCCCCTCGAAGTGGAGTGTTGTCTATGCTAAGCTCTTATGTCATGCTCTTCTGGTCGATCTATTGACAAGTCAGACCCTCAGGTCAAGTTTCAACCAAGCCATCAGAGGTCCTAGCTCGACCTGTCGGTGCTCCTTTTGAACCTGCGACGTCCTTATCGACCAAAGGACTCTTTGCTTTGTAGCTCCGTTCGGCCTTCTTGTAGCTCCGTTCGACTAATCGATTTTGCCAGTTTATTGAGTCTATTCGACCCGATATGGTATCTCATATCATTCTTAGATCAAGTTATTCTACTCCGACTAGAGTGGAGAAGACCAAATGATATGAGATACCATACTAGGCTGATTTGACCTGAGAAACAGTCTAGCTAAACGAGGTGAACCAACATGGTCGTATGGAGATCGAAGATATAGGAGGTCGAAGGGTCAGCAAGTAGATGATGATGCTCCTGTCAAAGAGCACCACCAATAGGTCAACCTAGGGCGCTCGGATGACCTATTAGAAACTCGACCTACATACCCCTAAGTCGATGGATCGACCTAAATGACAGTAGGAGAAACGAAGAAGTAATATAGCTCAAAGAAGGTCAAGGCGGTTGTATGATTAGACCAACTAATAAGACAGACTAATGAATAACTTGGAAATTTTGAGGTTGGGCAGTATGAACGAGCAGTTCGGACATCCAAGTAGCCCGTCTGGGCAATCTTGGGCAACAAGATAACAACCCTACATAAGGAAAGTGAGGTATGACAATTCAAACTCTACACACTCAGATATACTTACAAGCTTATATATCTACTATTCATAGTCTTCATCATTGTAGACTGACATAATTGTTGGAATGCTAACGCCAGGTAAATCTCCCTTTGAACCGCACGTGAATGGATCCAAGGTCATTCCCCAATCGAGATCGTTTGCACATCACATTACATAGGCTACATACTAGTGTCACAGTGAAAAGAACAAATCGGCAAAAAAACAACACAAAATTATCATAAATCAAAACATGGTAGGCAAATCCAGATCCAAGTGTACTCTAAACAAACATACCTCAAAGGCCCAACAATCCACGCGGATACATTAACATCTAATACCACCAAATTAAATGCAACTTACTAGACTATTGAACCCCAACCAAACCCAACCCCATATTCCACCTTCACCCATCCAAACTATTACAACCTCATACATAGATAAAACCTAAAATCAACAAAACACAACAACAAAATGAAATGCAGGCCTAATGATGAGGGCAGAAGGTGACCAAGTAACTGCCTCCGGTACAGGTGGCAATGCTGGTCGGGTCGTCAAAGGCGTACGAGTATGCTTTGGGGCAGGCCACCTTGAAAATGCGCGAATAGGCCGTGGGCTTGCACGACTGGGCATTAGCAAAAGTTTCCGTGCAGCAGTAGCGTGGGGACTTGAAAGCTGAGCATGCGCTTTTGCACGCCACCACTCGTTTTTTGTCGTGGGAGCGCACCTGAAGCCCCACTGGGCACATCTGGTTCAGGTCACTCACGCACCCTGCATAGCTACATTTGCCTGCACCAAATACAACATACTAAGTCAAGGCTGATGATAAAAGTACATACTTGCAAATTTAGGACAATTGATACAAAGGGGGAAAATTTTATAGTGTGCACAAGAATATGATGAATTGCCCTGTAAATGGACCCTTAATAGGTAGATTCTTTAGGCACTAAGAAAAAACAGGGAAATTCAAAAACATCATCAGTTGATTACACTTCATCCATTGGTAACAGTTTTACTACTCTAGGCTATAGCCATTACTTTCAAATACCTTGTACTCCTTTTTTAGTTAACTTCTCAACATACAAACAAAATGGATCTATGAACCTACCCAACACATAATTAAATCCATAACAATACTCTCACATTGTATTATATATAGTAAAATGCACAATATAACATGTTTTCTTGTTAATTTTTTCCCACTTAAATGAACAAGATCCAAGCCTGAATACAGCAAGTTAAAAAGTCCAAGCTGAAA